TTTTCTTTCCTTCTACATATTCTACTGTATTAAACAACAACGATGATAATCTTGGAATAGAGGATGCCGAGTTGATGAGCGTTACTGCATTAGTTAGTATAAGATCGTGACAACTGGGCTTTGACTTGGTTTTGTTTGCTCTGATGATGGTACATGGTACCAGTACGAGCAAAACAATCGCCTTGTTGTTAGCTACAGATGCAGTTCAGTTTCTGGTGATACAGCACTAATGGAGCTAGAGAGCTTAAAAGAAGCACAACGATTTTGAAGGTTCTCCTGATCACTGGATGCTTTATGGTTCTTTATGCTTTGTTTAACTTCTGATGACCTGTCTGTCAGTTTAGTACATGTGTGATGGCTGATTGTTTAATTCAGCTGCGTTATCTCGGTAGTACCAATGGTCCAATGCTGACCAGAAACATATTGTTGGAAGTGTTATACAATAATACAACAAGCCACATGTTTTTCACAATGCAGTTACTTTTTGTTTGGTGCCTTGCGTTTGAGAAGAAAAAAAACTTTTTGTTTGGTGAAGTATGTCATTTTCAGAAAACTCAACAATTTCATCGATGTGCCACATTTGCAAATTGTGGCCATAATTGACTCAGTTCTCTTAGTTTAGTCTAATAAATGTCATCGTCTTGCTAAATGTTAACTAGCATAGCTAATGGAGACTTCTCAATCTACCTGCAGTCGGAGATAAATTTTCTAGGAAGGCTCTCCCATCCGAACCTAGTGAAGCTCTTGGGCTACTGCTGGGAGGACAAGGAACTTCTTCTCGTGTATGAATTCATGGCCAAAGGGAGCTTGGAAAACCATCTATTCAGGAGTGAGTTCTTACTTCTCATTAAAAATACCCTCGATGAAGTTCCGTGCACATTTCACTGAACAAGTTTGGAAATCACCTTGCTTACAGTGGCGGAACCAAAAAATTTTATCATAATATTGTGATTTTTATTTACTGATATTGGAGCCAACTAATTGCATTTCCCTTTAGGAGGATGCGCTCCGCTGTCTTGGGAACTGAGGCTGAAGATAGCCATTGGTGCAGCTCGAGGACTTGCATTCTTGCACGCATCAGAAAAGCAAGTAATCTACCGTGATTTCAAAGCGTCTAACATCCTTTTAGATGCGGTAAGTTCAATGCTATGCAATGTTTTTTTTTACGGAACTGGAGGGGCCTAAGCCCCTACAGGCAAATGCTATGCAATGTACCTTTGATATATCAATTCACTATTAAGGTCAAATAGTGACAGTGCTTTATTTTTCTTGGCAGAACTATAACGCAAAGCTCTCTGATTTTGGCCTTGCCAAGCTTGGGCCAACTGGTAGCAACTCACATATCACAACCAGGGTGATGGGAACATATGGCTATGCAGCTCCAGAGTACGTAGCAACCGGTATGCGTCCTCATGTCCTCTCACCAACTGATACGATCATACTCTGCTTCCCTTGTAAATGAATTGTCAACACTCCACGTGCTAGTCATTCCACACATTGAAGCAGAAACATACGCGACGTAGATTCGGTTGTCCCCCACAATCAATATCACGCTATTCTCGCCCTGCAGACATTTCCACATTTGATTTGTGTGAAACAGCAGGCATACATATCATTCACGTCACTTTGAGTATATTCACACCTTTGTTAGTCTCCATCCAGTCATCCTCACCCATGTTTTCGGTATGCATCAGACTCTACACCTTTGTCTTGCTTAATTTAGAATCTTGTACACCAGAAAATGCAAACACTGGACCATGGCCATGGATGTCGAAACAGAATCCAGATGCAGAACCGATTTTCCTACTCTAAAGTCTCTAACTACTAGTAGAAGGGAACAGAGAGATTTGCTGTCACTGAATTCCTAGAGTAGTGGGGCACTACTAAAAATGACCTGCACCTGCACTTGCTGCCCCCAAGCGGATAATATCCCACAAGGATCATTCCAGTGCCTTGTCACTTTCCATAAAAAAACCATGACAAGGATGTGCAATCTGTTTACCCATTAATCCTTCCAGCAAATTCTTCTCATCCGAATGCAGAGTTTGCTACAGTTACAGTTACTTTCCTTGAGCTGCTTGCTGATGTTGATGAACGATGATTTGTCCAGGCCATTTGTACGTGAAGAGCGACGTGTACGGCTTCGGCGTGGTGATGCTGGAGATGCTGTCCGGGCAGCGGGCACTGGACCCGAACCGTCCGAGCGGGCAGCTGAGCCTGGCCGACTGGACGAAGCCGTACCTGGCCGACCGCCGGAAGCTGGCCCGGCTCATGGACCCGCGGTTCGAGGGGCAGTACAACTCGAAGCAGGCGTTCCAGGCGGCACAGCTGACGCTCAACTGCCTGGCCGGCGAGCCCCGGAGCCGGCCGTCGATGAAGGAGGTGGTGGAGACGCTGGAGCAGATCGAGTCGATGAAGAGCCGGGCGCGGGAGGCACGCGGCGGCGGATCGTCGCGGGACCGGCACCACGGCCGCACCGGCGCGGCGCACCAGCGGTCGCCGCGCGCCAGTGGCGAGCCCCGCGGCCGTGGCGCGTCCAGGGCCGCCAATGGCCACGCCGGCAGGGCTGCGCGGTGACACTACTCCGGCAGTGACGGATGATGACGATTCTTCATGTAAATGACGTAATTTTTTGCCTGATCTGTGTGCTGTTCATGCCATGCCTGCTGGTGATTGCTGGTGTGGTGTTGTCATGGCTCGTGAGGTGGTTCTTGCCCAATCACGATGAGGTGTATTATGAGATTAATTAGCAAGGAATTCAAGAGGGGTGGTGGTTGTTGTAAGTTGTAGCCAATAGTAGAAATAGGGGTGGTGGTTGTTGTAAGTTGTAGCCAATAGTAGAAATAGAAGAAAGGAATAATCATTCAAATTGTAATTTCGCGAAAGAAAAAGGAAAAAAGATAGGTTTTTGTGTATGTGTTGTTTTTCCACGAACCTGTGGAAAAGGACGTGGAGTTTATACTTGAGAAGATGTGGATAGATTTCTGTGCTGAGCGTGTTGAATTGATCGTTGCTGGTCTCTCTGAAATCTCAACTGTATCATCATGGTCATGGGTCCATGAAGTGCATCAACGTGGTGATGCTTGCGCCTGCGTCAAATGTCTGCAGAATTTATTTCATCAGCCATATAAAATACTATACCAGTCTCGCCTTTACCTTTTTTTAATAAAAAAGTAATAATGTGCGTGTTGTGAAAGAGAACAAAAAAAGGGTGCGAAATATAAGAGAATTGATATATCCAGGCGTCTGCAACCAATTAGTACTCCCTCTATTTTTTTTACACATCGTATTAGTTTTTTCCTAAATCAAATATGTTGACCATCAATTTTAAAATTTGTATAGGTTAACAAACATGTCTAACCATCAGTTTTAAAGATGTTGTATAGGTTAACATGTGTCTAACATTTGTGTGTTTTAGATTCACTATAAAAAGTACTCCCATAATAGTATATAGTTTTTCTTTGAACTAGATAATAATAGTATATAGTTCACATGTCGAAAACATCCATCAGCCTGTTCGGGAAGCCGTATCGTATCGTGGATTATTTACTGCTGGCTGGTTTGGTGTGAGAGAAAAACACTGTTCCCGCCTGGAAATTTACGATCGTTTACGAGCAAGCGAACAGGCTGCATATAGTTTCACAACATGTGAACTATATTGAAATCGATGATCACGAAGTTGAGCATAGCTTAACTGGTTGGGTGAGAGATGTGGCAATGCACCCAACCACCCAGTTTTAAGTCTCGTCTTGGACTGAAATTGGATGCCTATTTTTTCTTCTTATTCTTATAATGATTCTTATAATATAATGAAAACCCACTTAGTTCTCGTAGGTTGGATCTCATTTTTTTGAAATGGATGATCAAAGTAAAAAATGTTGGACTTAAGACAAATCTACATGTAAAAAAACAGAGGAAATATGATTAAATTAACAACTCATAAGAGGTAATTCATACCTTTTTTTTTCCTATGGCTGAACCATAATAAAATTATATATCCGATGAACAATAATTGAAAGATCGAGCGCGTAACGTTTATGAGAGGTGGGAGCGCAAACAAAGCGTGAGAAGAGGCAATCAATACGCCAAAATCCTGTAGATCCCGTGAACGTCCTTGGTTGACCGAGCAACGCGCCCGCAAAGAGGGGTGGGATGGGACAGGCTGTCTGGACCTTACTGGGCCAGCTGGCCGACCATTTTGACGCCCAAGCAAAGGTCCACCAATAGTCCAACTCATTCCTGTCTCCGACCTGCCAACCAACCCAGGCCCATCTCTCTCGGTCTCAGGTCCAGCCAAGCCATCGCCGGAATCCAGAGGACGCGCCGCAAGCGAGTCGCCGCCAAGACTTGGCCGGAGAGGACGTCGCCTCGCGCCTTTTACCGCCATTAACCTCGCCGTAACTGTGCCGACACGACACTCCGGCAGGAAGACGCGTGTTGATTGCGACACTGGTGTGGTACATGTAATACGTCCAGGTTTCCAACGCGTAGACAGTTTTTTTTCCTTATTCTTAGATTCCTGGAGAAGAGTCAGCGAGGGATGAAAACTTTTCACCGTCAAAGTTCCAGTGGACGAAAAACAACCTTTGTTCGGAACCAGACATATACGAGTTTCATTCACATGAACTTTGCAGTATTTTTTTTTAATCTAACTTTGCAGTAATCTTTATACAGTATATATAACAAAAAGGATGACATCACATCACAGGAATTAAAAGGGGACGCAGGATGAATGGAGTTGATTACTTCTGTGCTGCTAAATGAACTGGTCTGGGCTGTTTGTTCAGTAGCTACGTTGGGCCCAATGTGCGCGGCCCACTTCAGTACTAAGGCACAAGAGGCCCACAGACTAAAGATGCAATTGGGCTAGCTAGCTAAACTAAACATGCGATTATGCAAGCGGCCCCCTGCGCTACTCGGGATTAGCAAACCGAGGCGTGTGCCGGTGTGCCCCACACTTCCCCTTCCTGCTCCGGCAAGAGGCGGCACACCGCGGAAGCATGGCGCCTAGGGCTGCTCCGGCGCTGCGGGTGCTCCCGCTGGCGCTCGCAGCGGCCATCTTCTCGGGGCTCACCGCCATACTCATCTACCTCTCCGGCATCTCCTCCTCACGTAATGCCCCGCCCCCCCTCTCTCGTCCTTCAGTTTGCGTGTCGTGCGGGAGATCCCTGACGCCGGATTGGTGGGTGCGTGCAGATGGCGGCGCTCGGCTCTCGGAGGCGGACCTGGCAGCGCTCGCCGCGCTGCGGGGCAGCTTCAGCAAGTGCGTGGTACGGTCTTGCTCATCCAACTCCTCTCAGGATCAGCTGATTACCATTCGATTTGTCTTAGTGCTCCTGCTCATCTCGTGCCGCATTGTGGTTGTGACCTCTGGGGGTCACTAACTCGTCGGAGCCACCAGCTGTGGTGGACTGGGAGGGTGATTGCTTCAAAATTCTTCATTCCGTGTGCCAATTGTTCTGAGTCTGAAGTGCACTGTTTAGTGTGTACGAGATAGCACAGTGACAATGAGGTTTTTGTTTTGGTGTGAATACAAATTTCTGGGATTATAGCGTATCTATAGTTCAATTGGATGGCAGTTGCTGCATAGGTTTGCAGTGTTAGCAGCCTCAGGATCTTCATTGATGTCTTGGTTCAGACAAACCTTACTTGCTTGCTTAAAAAAATCTGCAGGATGCAAATGGGCTAGGACTGGAAGCGGTGACTGGGGAGGACTACTGTCGAGTTGTGATACAATACCCAAGCGACACAGTTTCTAAGTGGGTAAGTTCTTTTCCTTGTTGTGTCAAGCAAAGCTTTTACTTGATACAGGCAGGACTTTCCCCATTTCAGCCTTATGGATCAGCTTGCAAAGTACATTTGGTTCTGTGCTTACCTAGCATCTTATATGCTTTTGAAACTCTGCTGCATGTTTGGCCAGCAAATATAGTACTCTGTCGGCCTCCTCTCGTAACTAGGGTGTATGACCATTTTTTGTAGCTCTTATCATGGACTAATTTTTTGCAGAGAGATCCAATCACCCATAAGGTTGAAGGTCTGTCGTTTGAGTTCAATCTGTGCGAATCTGTAGCCTCATGGGAGCAGGTGATCATACTTCGTATTCATAAGTCTATGTAATTTATTGAACCCAATGAATCCAATATCATATAGCGCTGCTTTCAAAAGTCATATGACGAGTGCCTGACAACATTGGCAATGTTGACAAAGTTGTACTCTGTCACTTTTCAACTGCCCCATCTGAATTTCATGAACACCATAACATACACTGTACTGCAATGTTGGTCTATAGTTCTTCACAGCTACACGGTTAGCTTTTGATATGGTCACTAAGTAAGTAGTTTTTCTCTCCCAGGTCCGAAACAGTACAACAGTACTCACAAAGGAGTACATTGATGCTTTGCCAAATGGCTGGGAGGAGTATGCATGGAGAAGGATCAACAAAGGAATCCTTCTGTGGGTAGATACAAATCCTTGCCATTTCACCTAGACTTATATAAAGTGTGGTTTAACTCCAATAGATTACTAAGCATATATAGTTCTGAGTTTGCAGGAATAAGTGCCAGAACAGAAGCCTTTGCATGGAAAAGCTCTCACTAGTTCTACCTGAGACATCTCCATATGTTCCTCACCAATTTGGTAGATGTGCTGTTGTTGGGAACTCAGGTGATCTTCTTAAAACTAAATTTGGGGATGAAATTGATTCTTATGATGCCGTCTTCAGAGAAAATGGTGCACCCACCCAGGTTTGTTAAGATGATTTGTTAGCTGGCCAGTTTCCCCCCCTACATTTGGATGTTCCCTGAACTCGTTCTATCCATACAGCAGAATTACACTGAATATGTTGGTACAAAGAGTACATTTCGCCTTCTGAATAGAGGATCTGCAAAGGCACTAGATAAAGTTGTTGAGTTAGATGGTAAGTCTGCCATCTATCTTTTGTCCCCTATAAGTGGGATATCAATATGAAAAGGCATGCTAATTTTTATGGTTGCAGAAACAAAAAAAGAAGTACTGATCGTTAAGACGACAATACATGATATTATGAACCAAATGATTCGGGTAATTTAACTTCCATGTTAGAAATCAGACCACCTTGAGTACATGTTCTATATTTTCTTATCTGGCTGCTGGAACTCTTGCTATGTAGGAACTTCCAATAACCAATCCGGTATACCTCATGCTAGGCACATCATTTGGTTCCTCAGCTAAAGGAACAGGGCTTAAAGCTCTTGAATTCGCCCTTTCCATCTGTGACAGTGTTGATATGTATGGCTTCACAGTAGACCCAGGTTACAAGGAATGGTTAGTGAATGGTTGATCTTCACGTAGTGACAGTAATGAATTCTGGTCTACAGTTTTGCTTACAGCTGGAGCTGTTGTCTTTCAGGACAAGGTACTTTTCAGAGGTCAGAAAGGGACACACTCCACTACATGGTAGAGCATATTATCAGATGATGGAATGTCTTGGCGTGAGTTTCTTTCTTGCTGTAATCTTAGCTAACAAAACTGTTTACATCCATTATGTTATGTTATTTTGCTTGTTACCCATGATAATGTGGTGTACTGATATTAAAAATATATCGTGTGCAGCTGGTAAAAATCCATTCACCGATGCGAGGTGATCCTGGCAGGACAGTGAAGTGGCTGCCTACCAGGGCTACCATCGAGGCTGCCAGAGTTGCTTCTGAGAAGTTGTTGAAGTAAGTTTCAGGGCCTTCCTTTCTTTTGTGATTTAGTTCATCTGTTCATCAGGATAATTGATGTGTTTCTTCAGTGTCTGTATCTCCTTGAATCACGGCGCTGTATTAGCAAAACTGATGAACCGTTACTGATGGTAACTGTACTGAAAGTTCAAACTTGCAATTGTCACTGCAGGAGACCTGGGGCTGGAAGTAATAGCCCTCTGGGGACTTGCACCATGATAAAGAAGCGCAGGAAAGGAAGGAACCAAACAGATCTGGTCTACGAGATGCTGCCATGAAGCACCTCGAGGACATGAAAGGTGCCACCAGGTATCCCCTGGAGCGGAATGCAGGGGTGGGTACCTCTGCATGATCAATGATAGATAGGACTACGGCTGATCATGGCATCAGTGCCCAGACGAAGAAAAAATGGCGTTGAATGCTTGTGATGAATGTGCAGCTTGAGGGAACGAAAAGGCCGGGGTCTTTGATTTATGCAGCTGGTGTACAATGTTTTGAGTGTAGAGAATGTTTGGTGTATAATTTTTTCGAGTGTAGAGAAAGTTATCTTGATGAAAGGGCTTTGGCTGGTGGAGAGTGGAGACCAGCATATACATATCGAGGAGGCGTGGTGCTAGCTTGATTGCGAGCCACTTTGGTGAGATCTTTGCTGTGCTGTGTCCTGTGTATTAGGGTGAGAATGGTAGGCGATGGATGATTTTTTTTAAATAATATTTTTAATGAATAATTGCAAATCTAGAAGTTGTCATACAAAAAGTGTAGATATAGCATCCTGTCGGCGACTGGGAAGCCGACACGTCGGACTCTGGAAGGCCGACTGGTCTCATGTCGGCACCTCAGCAGACGATAGGGGTGACGTGGCAGCCGACGCCGTCCTGTCGGCGCCGATAGCAGACCTGTCGGTAGCTGGAAGGCCGACAGGCCCTATTGGCTTTGGGGGGGCCGATAGGCGTCGGCCCTCCAGCGGCCGACATGCCTGTCGCCCATCCAGCACCCAATTACACTATTTCATGCTTTATGACCCGATATGAGCTATTTTTCGAACATAACCATCACCAGATAGAAAACTAACTTTACCACTGCAACACTAAAAACATTTGCTCTCCTTTTCCGAACATATAAACATATATTACGCACCATAACCTAAGGAACCTTACAAACTTTTGAAGGCAAACACATTATAATATTAACCCAGCGCAGTACATGGACCAAATCTACAAAGCCTACGTCGTTTGTCCGCTGAATTGTCCTTTGCCTCGATGTAGGCGTCAGGAAGTTATTGGAGCGTTGCCTCCATTAAATGGTTGTAAAGCGACTAATACGGTTAGAGGCATCAGAAATCCAGGAGTACATTTGTTCACATGCATGCAACCATACAACCATATGATTAATACAGGTCAACCTGCACGACGGCCACGTTTGAGGGATCTGCGCCGTAGGGTAAGTGAGCTGGTCTGGAGGGAGGACAGCGCTGGCATGCCAACGGGGTCGACTCTGTAGGCTGCGTACCCTCGGTCGGCTGAGTCAGCTGAGTAGGCAGAGGTGCACCTGAAAGCTGTGAGGGCCCGGCCTCATCGGGGAACCAAGGAGGACTGTCGTCGGTGCAAAAGGTCGCGAAGCTGCTAGTACCCATCGTGTAGTCACTGCAAGAAGCACGTCCACCTACCAAAAAATTGTAAGGTCACAAAGAGCATGTTACGTACAAAATGCATGAGGTGGAAGTGGAAGGTCATCGCAAAAGTACCTAGGACTCCAACCGTCGGGTGCGAAGAACGAGCACGTCCTCCAAATCCTACGACTGGAGGCGGAAGTGGAGGCGGCGCTGGAGCCTCACCCTGCTGGATGTGAACAACTACGTCTGTGGTGCGGCGGCACGATGCCCGGCGTACTCCCGCTAAGCAATGTTGCCCCAGTCGTCGAAGGGCGGCAACCAACTCGATCCTACCAACCGTTGGGGGGTTCTGCTCGAACCGATGGGCATACGAAAGCAGCTCGTTGCCCTCGTCGCTGCAGATATCTGTCTGCAAGGCAGGCATGTATTGTTGCATGAATTGTTGTGACTCATTGGCAAAGTAACGATAGGACAAAGAAGTTTACAAATTTACTTACTAGCGCATGGAAAGCAGCGGGTGGCTCCGTCGCGAACGTGTCGGTGATCTCGGTCTCGTGCGGCGCGGCTTGTACCAGCACGGGGAAGCAACGAACGCGTGTGGCTTCGTGGAACCAACGCAAGTACTCGCAGTACGTGCCCTCGTCGAATGGTGCACCTAGGTTGTGCACGTCGGCGGCCGCCTCTGCCCAGGCGTTGACCCAAGGCATCATCCTATCCACCCACGACTGCTCAAACACTATACCTTGACCTTTCTCCTTGAAATCCTACAATAGAATTAATAATGAACAAAGCTGTACCAGCATCATGAAGAAATGTGAATACAACAAGACTTACCTGTGCGACCCGTCAAGCTGAGGTCGAGGAAGGGGGAAGACCTGCGAGCGCCCAAACTAGCGTGCCACCGGCTCCGGACAGTACGGCTCGGCGAAGATGTCGAACACCAGTCGTTTCCTCGCATACCATAGGTCCTGGTCATGGTAGCACATCTCCGACAAGCCACGCAGAGCACGATGCTGTATGTCAAGTGCTGTGTACGGGGTCCACCGAACCCTGTCAGCTGTGAGCTGGTCCAACGCAACGACGTACACATTGTACGTGCCTCTACCTGTGCCTGGTGCCCACCTCGGCTGGAAAGAACAAACTTGTTGAACATTGAAAGCATAATACTAACATAGTTCAACAAATAGTATAGACAAAATACTTAGGTCACGTGACAGCCAGAGTGTGCCCATTGTTGGGGCGTTGAGCTCGTTGGCCACACCAACCTGGTCGATAGCGTACATCTCGTCGTCGTACGGCTCGTACGACGATAGGGCCGGTCTCCCGATATCGAACCGCTCGAATGACCACAACATCAGCAACAACGGACAACCAGACAACGTACCTGTTGTAGTCCTCTAAGTGCAAGCATCGCATAAAGCCCAGTACGTAGCTGCAAGCACCGCTGAACCCCAATTGTACTAGGGAATCACCCCAAGTGGTGCGTACGCTATCTGCGCCGCGTAGTGAACCAAGTGCTTGTCGACGGTGTCGTGGTGAGAACTGGTGAAGAGTACCCAACCGAACAACCACATCAGGTACGCCTCCAAGTGTCGCTGAACCCTCTAGTCGTCCTCGTCCTTCGTGAGCCTCTCCGCACGAAACTGAGACAACCACGCCTTCGGAGGGCCGTGGCGGTCGTGGAAGCTGAACTGCTCATCCTCTCCCTCCCCCGGCTAGAACACACCCTAGAAACGGTGCAGGATCTGGTCCTCCCAGTCCCCCGGCACTACTACAAGGCCGACAGGGGCACCAGCGAGAGGTAGACCGAACAACATGGCGACGTCCTGCAGAGTGACGGTCACCTCACCTACAGGTAGGTGGAAAGTGTGCGTCTCCGGTCTCCAACGGTCGACCCAAGCAGAGAGGAGTGTACGGTCAACCGGAAAACGCACACCCCTGTGCCGGTGTCGCTCAACCAGGCGTGCGAACGGAAGCAGACCAGCAGCACATGGCCTGTGATAAAAAAGAATATTGATTACCAAATTTGAACACTCCTACTTCTCCATCCTCTATCGTGTTCTGAACCGCCTGAGGATTGGAAACATAGGTCTGCTCAGCATTTACGGCCTCTAAGTTGTCCTCTACTACACCTGTGTTGCTACTCACCCTGCATGCCACCATTCAGGAACTCAACCAGCATGATGTTGTAATAACGACGCTCCAACGCCTTAGACACGAGAAAATGCCACTTCTTTGTGTTATTGGCCTCATACAGCTCCCACCTCCATCCATTCTCCCGCAATTTAGGCACCAACATACTAATCCAGAAACGATGTTGGGAGGGCGGAACACCCAAATATTCATGCAGCCAGGCTAAAACTTGTTTGCGGCTATAATCTAGCGGCGAATTTAGTTCTGTGTCAAAGACCTGGAACTCACTAAGGTTGACCCCACTGTCCTCGTATCTGATTTCACCATCGCCATGGTAAATTCTGAAAGAAACTAAATCGGTCGACATTCCTGGTCGCATCGTACAAAGTATCGTGTCAGTTATATGAAGTACCACGTGAACTAAACAAAATAAACTAAAACTAAGCTAACCCTAAGTAAATCGAACCCTACAACCTAACTAAAAATAACTAACGACAGCTAAAACTAACCCTAAAAAACTAACCCCAAAAATTAACTAAAAAACTAATCTACAACTCAAACGAACCCTAAAAAACAAACCCTAATCTCAACTAACCCTAATCCTAAAAACTAAATATACTAATTAATCTAACCCTAAAAAACTAATTAATATATCCTAATGTACGACTACAAACTAAATATACTAATTAATCTAACCCTAAAAACTAATTAATCTAACCCTAAAAAACTAACCCTAATGTACGACTACAAACTAAATATACTAATTAATCTAACCTTAACCATATCTAACTAAACAAAATCTAAATAAACTAACTAAAAAACTAAAATCTAAATTTACAAAAGAAATAAAAACCATACCTTGCAGTGTTTGGGCGAGTAGTAGGCGGCGCAGGCGGGGGTGGGGGCGACGGCGCACGCCTCCCGGATTCGGGCGCGGCCGATGTGAGGAGGTCACCAGCGCCGACAGAGCAATTGGCAATGACCGACGGCGACGCGGTGAGAGAGAGAGCGCGAACGCGAGCGAGAGGGAAGGAGGAAGATGCTGGCTAGATATTTTAGGACCTATCGGCCATCGGAAAGCCGACAGAATCTTATCGGCCTCCGTGCGGCCCATAGGCCTATCGGCCCGATATGGCCCACTTTGCCGTATGAGCCAGCCCCCTCCGGAGCCTTGTCGGCTTCTGGACGGCCGATAGGATCCTGTCGGCTTCCCAGAAGCCGATAGGAATCCAGTCGGCTATCCAGTGGCCGACATGCTACTATATTTGCAATTCGTTTTAATCAAATGCTACATTTGCAATTAATCATTAAAAGAATATTATTTAAAAAAAATCGGCGGTGGATGCAGTCATAAACAGCAGCGCTGCTGCGATGCAATCTCAAGTCCCAACAAGGCAGGGAACGCCGAACGCCCTGCCAAGTGCCAAGCGATGGCTTCTGTACCGTGTCGTACGTACTCTAGCCAATTGGACGTAGACACGTAGTACTCTGCTTGTCAGGCGTCAGCCCACGCCCAGCCGTGGGTCGGAACTC